AGGAAAAGGGAAAAAAAATAATCTGCGTATTTCTGAAAACAACAGATCTTCACCTGAGGTCACAGTAACAAGGGCTGCCCACACCTCCTTGCTTATCTGGCCTTGGTGACACTACACACATTCCCACTGTGATGCATTTTTCAACTGCCCGCAATGTACTTTGCATTACATCCCCAGGGTCACCTTGTGCCTTGCCTTGTCGATGCTGGGGCAGCAGCCAGTGTCAAACCCTAAAGCTAAGCGAGTTAAAAACACTTTGGATTCCAAATTAAGGAACTTTCAGTCGACAGCTCTATGTTACTCCTCTGCGACACAAGATGGCACCAGACACTTCCCTAATCTCAGGCTGATAAGAAAAGCTGAGCAGCAACGAAGTTTAAAACAAAAAGCCCTAAAGATGGGTTTAATTGACCCAAGACGTAGGGCATTATAGTCTGTGTGCAGAACGGCTGCAGCTCAGGAGGGACAAGGGCTGAAGCTGCACATGCAGCTGACCACGGCTGTGCACACAAACCTGCTGCAGGCTTTAGACAAGGAGGTCACAAAAACCAAACATTCATTGAAGCTTACAGCTCTCTCTATGCGTGCAAGTATATTCCATATGCATGGACCCTGTTCACACATCGTGATATACAGCTTATACTGCGAATCCCAGAGAAGGGAAATGTTCTAACCCTCTCTTCTAAATCTCATCTTGTTTTTGAAGGGCACCAGCATGATTGTGCCTATGGCGTTGGTTAAATAAACGGGCACATAAGCTTTTACTAGTCCAACTTACAGCTAAATCATAAGTACTAAGTAAAGGTTGTGCCACTCTGTTCTAGAAATTATTTACAAAGAGCAAAGCAGATAAAAACGCTGAAGATGGGTTTCTATTTACAGCCATATGATGGTATTGAGGTCACATCTGCTGAACACCAAAAGAACAGAATAGGAAAGACTGCACCAAATTAACAAGGCAAAAGTTAGGTTTAATTGGTAGTTCAAATTAGGGGATATGTTCTTGGTGAGACACACAGTCTGGGAGCTCCCATCCAGAGCCAGAAAGAGGAAACTACCCATGGTAGTTTCCCACCGATTTTAGGGAAGTCCCATACTCTGAAATGAGAATTTATTAAAAAAACACATACACAATTTTTTACTGCGACTGTTTTCCCCCACGTTTTCTTTTTCCTCTTTTTTTTTTTTTTCTTTTTTGTCCCTCAAGGATGTTTCTTTTGTAGTCCTGTAGATAGGCAGCCACACATGTAGACGTGATTTTAAGCAGCCCACAGCTGGTGCTTCAGCAGGCCTGGGAGCAGCTGAGAACAGGTCCAGCATGCAGTGCATTCCTGGGGCATAATGAGTAGCAGAAAAAAATATATATGATTTCCTGATTATTTTTTTTCTCCTGTCCTTATATGTGCATTTAATCTGGATGGAAGCAATGCAGGACTCCAAGCACAGCAACGAATGGAGGCTCTGCTGCTTCATCTGCCCACGGCACCTGACACCTCAGTAAAATCCTCATCGAGCTGTGACTGTATCCAAAGTCTTCTGGTCACCTGCAGGGTCTGGAAGGAGAGCAGCCAGCCGCGTTAGCTGGACAGACAAACGTACACAGTGCTCAGCCCCAGCACAGCAGGACAAGGAGGTTTATGAACACAAAGACTGCAGTGTTTTGCAGAGAGAAAACGGAAATACTCCGAGGATTCTTGGCACCAATGAAGCTGAATGCAGCTGGCTCAATCAGGTCTGCTTGTCTTTCAACCTGTACATGAGAGGACAAAACCGACGCTCAGTGTTATCAGTCTGAAGCACTTAAAGTCCATTGAACATGACAAAGCACCTGCAGGTGCTGCTAAGTGTCTTGCAATCAGGTCTGCTTTGTCTCCTTTTCTACCTGGATGAGAAAGAAAATTGCTCATAATGTCCAAAAGTTGAGTCTGGTTAAATAAACCTGCTAGCTAGCTGAAATTATAAAATACTCATCTGAATGCCACTTTACTGCAATCACTACCAGACATCCCTTCTCCTCACTGAGCACAAAGGCCGGCAGCCAGGGCTGAATGGAAGCTGAGTGAGCCCACTCCAAAAGGATGCAAACACTCTCCTGTAGCAGCATCTTCAGAAGATGTTATTGTGGATATTAGAGCAGCCTGTCCATTTTGCACAGCAATGGACGTGATCAGTAATCATCTCTCTTCAAGAGCAGCAGAATTGGACAGCTGAGCAGAACAGCCCCCTCCTATCTACGTAGAGGGAGGCCTTAGGAGTCTCTGTGGTGTGCAAACAGCTTCTGCCAGTCTTTGCAAAGACCTTGGAGTTGGTTTGAGCCTGCAATCAGATCCACCATGCTCAAGCCAACACTTTTTAGTGTTTAATGGCCGAGCTAATAGTGCCATTAATCCATTCTGATATAAAACATCCAATTTCTGCTTTAAATTGCATCTCGGTGCAAATGGCAGCTTGATCCCTGCTGACAGATGGCATTCACAAAATTATGATGAAATGTATTTAATGACTTCTTATTGCCAGGTTCAGCTGAAAGATGGGGAAATCTGTAGCAGCCCTTTAAAACAGTGTGATGGGGCATTCCGGAGTTGATATTTACAGAGCAAAAACTGAACATTAATGTTTGGCCAAGGCTGAAGCACTATGAAACAAAGAAGAGAGGCATGCCTCAGAGACCCATGTTCAGTCAATCTGGATATGCCCAGTACATCTCAGCCCTTGTGTTAGGACTCCCAGGACTGGATCTGGCTGAGCATCCTTCACTCTTCTGCAATTATGCAATACAATTCATGTATTCTCCCTCCTGCATGTATCTGAACTCCTTTTAAGCAAAAGTTCTGTTGGTTTCTTTGTGTGCTTGCTTTATTATTAAACAAGACAAAGCAGTAGGTCTTTCTAGAAAAAAGAAGTCCCTGTCAAAAATGTCTGCAAGGTTCCCCTTGAAGAAAGATTCAGCTGCAAGCTCTGCTGTTTTGTTTTTTTTTTCCTGCCCTTGAGTCATTTCTCCAGCTAATGGCTATTTATGGATCAAACCATGATGTTCAAAACAATGCATCATATATGATGATTCATACATGCTTTATATTAATCATGACTCAAATTTGGTTGTGCATTATAACTGAAATTAAACAGCTTTATTTGATTTTGGATTTCTAACACAAGTAGTGCATTCATTGCTGTGTCCAACCAGATGGGGAAAACAGGACTCGAGTTCAAATTGCAAAACACATCTGGGAATCGATTTACTTGTGAGTGCCTATAGCATAAGCACCCCTACATCAGCAGGTGACCCAGAGCCAAGCCCAGGAGGACTCTGCCCCAGTGATGGGTGCTTTTCACCAAAAATGGGAGCTGTGCCTCCCATCCTGCCCTCAGCCCAGGAACAACAGCCTCCAACTGCCACGGCACAAGACACGAATTCACCTCAAGCTCAGTCCTTAGCAGTGTCCCATCCTGCTTTGCAGCAGTAGCACTGTATCTCAAAAGTGCTTTCTCCAGCCTAATCCATCAGTTCAAGAGAGTTGAGCAGAAACAACTGAGGTTCACCACGCAAAATAAAAACAGCTGCTGGAGGCATAAATCTGCAACTGCTGTAATCTACAGAGGGAATATTTCCCCCTACCACGGGATTAAGGGAGAGATTTTCTTGTTTTAAATTAGCTTCTTTGAAACAAACCTCTGTGAATTTAGGGAGAGACTTTGACACATGGAAACAGAATTTCTTTTTCCTGTAGAAGTACCTACCTGGGGAGCTCTTCCGGAGCAGGAGCCCAAGGTGCAAAGAGCTGGAACACTGGAGGCAGTCCCAGAACAGCACTGGCCCAGACCTATCCATCCCATAGCTCTGTGCTCAGCTGAACTGCCCATGAGCGTTACTAGAAGAATCTTTGTTTAAAAGGGCCTGATATCAGAGCAACCCCACATAGTCATGTACTCTGAGTTAAAAAAAGGACTTTGCAGATAGTCAGGGGATGACAACAAAGCTCAAGTGCATTGAAGTCAGAAGGCAGGAATACTCGAGGTCATTGGACACGCTTCCAGGGAAACCAGACCAACATTAAATTTCCATTCTCATGAACGGAACAATAGGTTAATATAGACGAAAAAGAAGAGGCAATTGAACTTGAAGAACCCTGTCCTTGAACATAGGACTGCCAGAGATTGTTTGAGAAGTGAATTCAGCTACAAATTAACTGCCAGATAACTTGCTCAGTAAGCAGCTGGGGCTCCGACCCACCCGGAATAACCCTTTGCTGCCTACACAACATGCTTCCAAGCTGAGGGGGGGGAGGGGAAAAAAGCCCCACAGGATCAACTAGCAAGAGCCGCACATCTGCGATTTGCTTTATTTCTGAGCAAATTCAGGAAAATAAACAAACCCAAACCGTCAGGAGGCGCCTCCGCCTCCCCCGGGACGAACGGAACGCGCACCGCGGCGGCGGCTGCCAGCAGGGGGCGCTATGCGGACCGCGCCGCGCTGTCACTCAGCGAGCCGCCCGCTCGGCAGTGGCCGCGGCTCGGCGCGGAGGACCGAGTAGGAGTTGGTTTTCCTCTCACACGTGTATAAAGCCCTGCGAGTGTTTTGGTCGGTTTTTCGTTGTTTTACCTTTCTTGCCATCGAAGTCTCGAACTGCAGCAGACCGGCCGGCAGCACAGAGGGGGCTTTCAGCTACGGCCGCGGAGCCGGCATCGTGCTGCTGCTGGCTTCTCTCTTCAGAAAAAGCAGCTTGATGCCCGATTTTAAGCTCACTTCCTTGCAAGGCAGAGCAGCAGCCTGGGACTGACACGAGACGCACTGTAAAGGAAGATTCTTCTTTTTAAGTTTCTACTTGCAGAAGTGACTAACACGAACTCCTGCTTGGTTGCACCCTGTGTGCATTGCAGCAACTTGGAAGGAATTATTTTTCCCTTTTGCTTTTTTCTTTCCCTTCTTCCCCCTCTTTTTCTTTTCTTCTTCTTTTAACCTTTGCTCTGTCAGCTGTTATCTCCTGCAAACCTGGCTGACCATGAACGGCACACACTTTGCCTTTTCATTTCAGCCTGTGCTGCTTAATGTCACCGAAGATGTCAATGACTCAATTCTCAACAACAGAAGCAGTGATGGATTTTGCGAGCAGGTCTTCATAAAAGCTGAGGTCTTCTTGGCTTTAGGGATCATCAGCCTGCTGGAAAACATCCTCGTCATTCTCGCAGTGCTGAAGAATGGAAACCTACATTCTCCCATGTACTTCTTCCTCTGTAGCTTGGCTGTGGCAGATATGTTGGTGAGCATGTCAAACGCCTTGGAGACCGTCATGATTGCAATCCTGAGCAGCGGCTATTTGATCATCGATGACCACTTCATCCAGCACATGGACAATGTTTTCGACTCAATGATATGCATTTCTTTGGTAGCGTCAATTTGCAACCTCTTGGTTATAGCCATTGACAGGTACATCACTATTTTCTATGCTCTCCGTTACCACAGTATCATGACTGTGAAGAAAGCTTTAACCCTAATTGTGCTCATCTGGATCGCCTGCATCATCTGCGGCATCATATTCATTGCCTACTCAGAAAGCAAAACTGTCATTGTCTGTCTCATCACCATGTTCTTTACCATGCTCTTCCTCATGGCCTCCCTTTACGTTCACATGTTCCTGTTTGCACGCCTGCACATGAAGCGGATCGCAGCCCTGCCTGTGGACGGGGTGCCCTCCCAGCGGACCTGCATGAAGGGCGCCGTCACCATCACAATACTGCTGGGTGTCTTCATTGTTTGCTGGGCACCTTTCTTCCTTCACCTCATTCTCATCATTTCTTGCCCTATGAATTCATACTGTGTCTGCTACACTTCACACTTCAATACTTATCTGGTTTTGATAATGTGCAACTCGGTAATCGATCCGCTCATTTACGCCTTCCGGAGCCTGGAGATGAGAAAGACTTTCAAAGAAATAGTATGTTGCTGCTATGGTGTGAGCGTGGGACAGTGCATGCTGTGAGCTCCCGGCTTTGTGTGGGAGCAGAGGAAGCATACAGTAGGTGTATGAACGTGTATGTAGATACATAGCAGCTTCATTTTAAGAGCACTTCTTGAAGAAAGGGCACAGGAAAAAAGCTCCTAATTAATGCCTTGATTTATGCTTTTCAAAAGGAAAGGATTCAACTAAACAATTTGAAGCTATTTAAATAGCCATAACAAAGCAAAGTCCAAAGCAGCTTGCAAAATAGATGAAACAAATGTGAAATGAGGAAAAAAGAATCCTGAGAGTGAATGTTACCCTACAGAGAATGGAATAATATTCTGTCTCTCTCCTCTATCTGCACCTGTTGCTTTATCTCTGTGCCTCCAGCAGTGAAATCAGTGTTTCCCAAAAGATTCCCTTAGGAACTTCTCTGGAAAGCTATTCACCCACAGTCAAATCAAACCACTGACAGTGACAGCTTTGCTCTGATGTCTCCACCTTTTAATAAAGGAACAGGCTGACATTTGTGCTGCTTGATATAAAGCAAATCAAGAAAAGTCTTAAAAGGATGAAAGCAAACCATCCATCCCCGGCACTGAACTATTCCTCCTGTAAAGTCAGCTCAGTGAGAATGAACGACTGTGCGAGCGACAGTGTGATTTACACAGCCGGTGGGTAGAAGTGAACTCATTTGAAGATGCCAGTTACTTTCCTTATTGTGGGATAACAGTACTGTATCCTCTGAAGTTTTTCAAAGAGTGGATTGCACTGATTAATGTATTTGGTATGTTGACAAATCGGATGTCTCGTTTTGATAATTATTATCCAGCGAGATTCATCCCTTGAGAATTTCGAAGACCGAGGATCTGAAGACGGAGCTGAACATAATGAATAGCTAAGATGCCAAATCATTTAACACAAAGCTGCGTTAAATCTACACAGACTCTTCAGAAACAGCCATTTGGCTGAGTGAGGTACCTGCTAGCAGGCAGATGTGGCTCTATGCACCGATTACTGTATGTCCTGGGTCAGTCTGGTTTTACTTAGAGAGCTTTAACCTGACAACAGTGGATGAACACTCCTGCACTGAAATCAAGAAAGCAACGCATTCTTTGCAGTCATTTTTATGTGCAAGTCGGTGGCATATAAAGCACGTGACTTCAGCTACAGTAGTTCAGTCTTTTCCTCTGCTTCTTGTAGGAACAAACCACATGAGAAGCCCTCAAGTAGCATCTCGTAACCAAGCAAAGGCAGACATGAGTTGTGTGTATTACAATGTATAGGCTGTATTGCTGCCATCACAGTGCCACACTAAAAAACTCTAAGCCATGGTAAAAAATCTGCTTAGCAGCCTTCTGGTATCTTGCTTCTAGTAAGGGCAGTCGCCTGAAACCCTCAGGAAAACAAAGTCTATTGCTTTCGAGCAACTAAAAGCTCTCATTTGACTTAAGCCTCTCTCTCATTTCTTCCTTTCAGTGTAATTGCTATGTTATTATTTCTGGCGCTCTCACTATCTGTCCTGTGGTAGACCAGAGCCTCCCAGTCCCTCCTGCCTCCATTTCTGCACTCACACATCATGGCCTGGCTCAGCTCCCAGCTGAAGCGATTTTACTGCTGGCTCTGGAACACGGCTCTTACTGTCTGTGGGAAATATATGCCTCACTGACTCCAAACACTGGCATACAATGTTCCTATGAATGTGTTTTATTCTCAGCATCCTACAGCACACCTAGAAGGCATGTTAGCTTTCTAATGCTGTGGGGGATTAGATCACATTCAGAGATTCAAGAACCAACTCTGTGTTCCATCCCCATTCCACTCATCAGCCAAACCAACCTCATGTTCACCATTTCCCTTGCACTATCATCACACCTGAAGTTCCCTTATCAAGTTCTCATCTCCTCCCATGAACCCATTCCCTTCCACTTCCCCAACATTCCCACTGTTCCACCATTCACGTAACTTCATGAATACATTTAAAATGAAAGAATTTTAACACACCAAGGTCCTTTGGGCACATAGCAGAACAGACATAGATGGATGGCATTTCTGCCATGGTTCAGGTGGTGACCAGAAAAAATCCCAACACCCAGCAGTAAGCTCAAGCTGAGTGCTCTCAGCCCATACCCGCATCTCACAAATCAGTTGGACAGTAGTAAAACCTGTTTTTTGGCTCTGGCTTTTGCAACAGCAGATGTGGTACATTAAGATGAACTGAAATCAGCATAGGATATCTCATAACAGACCTTATTTTGCTGTGCAAAACTGTACCTACTTGTAAAAATCCCTATCTGGTGTCAGTGATATGTACCTTAATTCTACAGAGCATGATTTGCCACAATTCCCTGCCTCAAGTTATTGTGCATTTAGCTCTTATTGTACCTTACGTCTTATTTTTCATTTTAAACACAATTTTAGGTGAGACTACAATTCATACTGTGCTGCACATTTAAGCAAAAAAATAAAATAAAAAAAATAAAAAAAGATCTGTTGAATAAAGCAATCTGAAGACATCGCTCAGAATCGTGTTTGCTTTTCCTGAAGCACCACCCCATGTCAAACCACAGTCTGTGTGGTCTGGTTCACAAGACTAGAAAGAAAAAGCCACCTCAGTGTGCATAGCAGCCACAGAGAAAGGAGAGAGAGCAAACCCCTGCAGCACCTCTCCCACTGCTTCCAGCACCAGGCACCAAAGGTGCAGCTCTCCTCCACAAAGGTGGATTTGGGGTTCGCGGGGTGTCTGCCAGTTCCCCTTGAGAAGGGCAAGAAATAGCAGAGATGACATCCTTTTCATTTGAAGGTGCCGTTAGTTGGACTTATTGATTCCACCTTTGTGCACAACAATCAGTTTGCTCAAAGATTTAAAAAAAAAAACAAAAAACCCATACATTCAAATAGCTGAATTCTCAGGAGCACCAGTAATTCACTAAGTCAACTCTGCACAGCATGTTCTGCAAATTATAACCAACCTCACCTCTCTAATGTAGTGTTAGCACAGTGCATGCACTTTTTCTATCAATAACTGTCTAAATATTTTACAATTGAAAGTATTTGCCCTAATGGATAAATAACAAAGCCCAGGCACGGAATTCTGCAGTAAGCCAAGGTCATTGCTGGTCCACTGGTACAAATATCTTGACTGTTAGAGTTAAGGCATTAAAACATGGCCCTCCTGTTTAAATTTTATAAAGCACACTAATAACCAGAAGCATGGAGCAAGAAAGATAGATTCTCTAGGCTGGAGTTATAAGTGAAGCCCTTTTTGCACAGGGTAAACTCATTACCCAAAGAGCTACACAGCATCACATGTCACTGTGGTTATTGGCTGGGCTGGAAGGGAACGAGGTCACAACTCAAGTCAGACTTCAAAGGATGGATGAAAAAAAGTTGCATTGGATTTTCTCCAAAGTCAATAACATAGTTTTGATGTTTTAATTCTTCTTGGAAAACAATTCTTTTTAATTCTTCCTACTGGCTTAAGATGCTTCTTTTCTGGGAATTAAAAAAAGCAAGCATAGGAAAACCCGCTACAAATCTCATTGTCATCACCATCCACTGCAACTTCACAGCCATATGTGCTTATTTGCAGTTTAAATTGTAATTCAAGACTGTGCTTATTCATCACTCTCATAAACTCCCAGTTTAGAGTCAGATCTGAGCAAGGTGCCAGCACAGGACATTTCTGTTGGCACCAGCACAGATTTGAGCAAAAGGTACATTTCCATCACACTCACTAATGCAGTGATGTATAAAGTAGACCTGAATTCCCATAACGTGCTTACAAGCATGTTATAAGAAAATGGAACCCAATAGATTTGGTTTTGTACAACACTGTATTGGTCAGTGGGGCAGAACGTGAGTCCAAGTATATACATATAATCAGGATGACTTATCACAAGGGCTTTGAAGGATTAAGGCAGATTCCTTTGATATTCACAACATTCTGAAAACACTGATGACAAAAGTAGAACTACTCATTGGTTACTCAATCATACAACTTTGCTTGCACCAGAAGAGAGCACACCTCCACGTTCTGCAGTATGACACCAAGGAAAGCACAGTAATAACAGCAGAGCAGCAAAGTCCTAGGCAGCAGCAAGTGAAGATTTGCCCAAATACAACAGCCAGAGAAATAAAGGCAAAAAAAGCTGCTTACCTTCAGAAGAACACAGGTCCATAAGGATCTCTAATAAGAACCCCATGCCTTCACTACCAACTCTCAAACAAGGGCTGGAAGGGGTGAATCCTGGCTCCAGCCCTTCCATCACTCAGATGCACTGCTCACACCTGTGCTCACTTGGGTTGGCCCTGCCTTCCCACCAGGTGCTCCATCACTGCTTTTGGCTGTGACTCAGCATTGCTGGTGATCAAAGTTTACTTAATATCATCTGTTGTTTTAGATGTTGTTCACTGTGCCAAAGCTAGCTGTCTGCTGTAAACAGTTCTAAATTTCTGAGGGTTTTTTAACTACAAAATTTAAAACAGATGTGGGACATGTATTTCCTTTCTCTGTGAAAAACAAATAGAATTTGTTTGAAAGTATTTCTTTCTCTTGTGATTATGAATAAAGAAGACATTTGTAAAGTGAGATTTACTCCAAAGAGCCTTCCATGGTTCTTCCATTTCAACTGTCTATATAAATCATAAATAGTCAGTATTCATCTTCAAGCATTAACTGCTGCTATTTCTGGTTTGTTCTATACTCTTCTGTTGAGTCAATGTCAGAAATAAATATTCTAGGAAAAGTAAAATGCACTGAACAGTTCTCTTTCACTGTAATGGCTATAATAAGCAGCATGATACTTTCAACCCATTACTGATGTAATTACCACAATTGTGAGGATGCACTCTGGGGGTAAGCTGCAAGAATCATAAAGCCAGAGGCCAGGCATAATGGACTTGGGGCTGCATTCAAATACTAACTTGAATTAAATGTGGGCAAATTCACATATATCATAAGGAACAAACATTTCTTTAGACCTGCAGCTTCTTAAAGGCACCAAGAGCTGCAGGCAAGGCCAAACCATTGCAGACCT